AGCTTGCTCCGTGACACTCTCTAGCAGAATTTTTTTTTTTGTAATATGTTTTATAAATAAAAATATCACATTTTGTTTAAAATATTAATTTTTTATTTTAATTTTGTTTGGTATAAAGACGTGAAAAAAATTATATTTGTTTGGAAATATTAATTCTTAAATAATTAATTGTACAATTAACAGTAATTTGTTTGACTATAATAGATGTGTACGATCAAATGAAAATATAAATTCTTGAAAAAATTATTACAGTTCCTTAAAAATATTAATTCTTGTATAATTGATGTAGATGTCTTTGGAATATGTTCTCTCTCCAGAACAATGGTTTTCTACTACCATCCTTCAGTATCCAAATCGTCAATACGTTCAAGATTTTATAAATTTCATAGATGCAAATCAACAATGTTATTTGATGTGTAGTAATTTTTATGGATTTATATATGGAGCTGTTTTCAAAGGAGACGAAGAACAATTTACTAGCAAGTTGGTACATGAATTTATAATGAGACTTGTGCATTGTGGCAAAAACAATGAAGTTTGGGTACGGTTAGATGACCATCTTGCTAGGTTTGGCTTGCAAGAATTTTGCCTCATTACTGGACTACCTTGCCATGAACCATCCGTAGAAATTGATTATAATAACTATCATTACTGGACTACCTTGCCATGAACCATCTGTAGAAATTGATTATATTAACCATCGTCTTAGAAATCAATACTTCAATGGCACAAAAAAAATAGCAATAGGATGCTTTTTGAAACTTTCCACATGTGTGAAGATACAGAAGATAAATTTAAGTTGGGATTAGTTATGTTGGTTGAGTGTGTGTTGAAACCGACTTCACCACAAGTTGATTATAGAACTCTGGGCATGGTTGAACATCTGGATGAGTTCCTTACATATTCGTGGGGCCAAATAGCATATTTTGTTTTGTTAAATTCTTTGAAAGAGTCACAATTGGAAAGAATAATAAGGATGCAACAGAATGGACAAACAGAATGTAAGTATGCATTACAAGGTTATCCACTCGCATTTCAGGTATTATGTTCCTATTCTAATTACTTACGTATTATGTATAATTTCTTTGTACAAAGAATAAAATTTATACATCACATTTCTCTTTTTTTACGTTGCAGTATTGGATATATGAAGCATATCCACAAATTGGACAAAAGTTTGGTCGCCGTAAACACAGAACGGTGCAGATTCCACGAATCTATAATTGGAGGCCTAATACTATACTGAAAGAATCGGTTGTTAAGCAATTTTTTGATACTCAAGATGTATGAATTTTTTATTTTCAACGTACAATGACATTCGCATTTTATTATTAATAAGTTCAATTAAACAAATGGATTCTGATAGTTTGTTATGATTACAGATCGAAGTCATTGCAGTGTTGCAGCCTACAGAGGAAGAATTACAAACACCTTGGTACACAAATCTTTCTCTGCTGACTGATGATGAACATAATATATTAGATGCCATTGTCACTGGAGAAGTAGATAATGTAGTACCACAAATACCGGATAACATTCGTGTGCAAGAAACGACCAGTCGTGGCACATCGAGAACTTCAACTGGAGTTGGGCCTAGTTCTGCTTCTGGTGCCTCCAGATATGTAACTGAAGATCGAATGGAAGAAATGTTGGGTATGTACAGGCAACATACGATATTAGATGTATCCAGTCTATGTGGCAACTTGAAGGCAGAATTTGTTGAAGAATCCAGAGCCCTGAACCAGGATATCCTTGAAAGCCAAAAGCAACTGTTCGAACAACATAACAAATCGATGCAAGATTACATGCTATATGGTATGTAGTCATACATGGGTAATTCTCTATCAAATATGTTTAGCACTCATATGGCCCAGGAATCGCAACAACAAGAGGCCCATTATGAGGCGATTCTTCGAAAACAAGAAGAATTATTCCAGCAGCAACAGGAGCACATACAGTCTTATATTGATACAAGTTTATGTTCTGTCAGATCTTACATTGACGAAAAGAATGAGAATATGCTAAACAGATTATCTAACTGGGAATCCAACATGGAAGCCATTATAGGTTCCATGCAGCAGGATGTTCCTCTCTATGCAAGTCCAACTCCTACTGTTCAACCGCATGAGACATCAACGTCTCAACCAGCAGAAAGTGTTGACATGCGGAGAAGAGAAAGGGAAAAGAAGATGAAATACACACAGGCTTCATCATCCACAGGCCGTCCCTTAGAAGATTACGACATGAACAAGTACAAAGACATTAGGAATTGGATATCGAGAAATCAATCTGGGTAACAAATGTAACTCATTCTGAATAGTCCGAATGCTACACATTATTATATCTATGTGAAAAATTATTTGTTGAATTATTTGATAGTAATTTAAATTATGTTACACAGTGCATATTTGGACGATGGCCGTGGCAATGTCTATGGAAGAGACATGCTAAAAAGTTTAATGGATCCGACGAAGGATCTGAATATTGCGGTGAGTGAAGGTTTGTAATCACAATAAATTTGATTTCGTAGTTAA